TAATAATGTTTTTCGAACTTGTTGCACCAGTGAAATTATCTTCATTATGCAGGGGTGAAGTTTTAGAGGTGGACATTTCCAAATGAAAACCAGCTGCAGGTCGAGATGTTTTGTAACTAGACTGAAGCTACAGCAACATTAATAAAACCATTCACCACATGAAACCTTTTCTGTCTGCAGAGGATTTAAAGGAGAAGCTGGACGACTATGTCACCCTGATCAACGAGGAGCGTCCAGGCCTGGTGAAGAAGATCCACCACTCTGAGCAGCTCGGCCTCACGCAGGCCAGACTGTCGGGGTGGAAGGTTGCTGTGGGGGACGTGGTGGCCATCTTGGACGCTCACATCGAAGTCCACGTGGAATGGTTGGTTCTGAGTAATGTCTGTTCATTTTTCTTTTGGAGCGTTGCTGTGCTGGTAAAGCTGTCATCGAACATCTTGTTTGTGTTCTGTGAAGTTGAGCTGTCGCTGTGTGTGCAGGGCAGAGCCGTTGTTAACTCGCATTAAAGAGGACCGCACTGTCATACTCACACCAGTGTTTGACAGAGTCAATTATGATGACTTGACGCTGACTCCCTACGTGCCTGCAGCTGACGCCTTCGACTGGGCTCTGTGGTGCATGTACGAGTCCTTCAGACCAGAATGGTACGATCTGAAGGACGATTCGCTACCTGGCAAGTAAGTTAAACAATCGCTTAGCAAAATAACAGAAACAAACTTTAAGAAAAGTGAGAGAATAATACAAAGATCTTTATGAAAAAATATCAGGCATATGAATCTAAACATCTCAAGATCTTTATACTGCATCTCATTTGGTTAACAGCACATGATTTGGATTTAAATATCTTAAAACCTCTGCAAGTAAAATCTGGATATCTGCATTTATTTACAGAAGTAGAGCACGTATCTCTGTGTGTTTTTGTGGAGCCGCCCTCTTTACTACTCTTTCACTACTATGAGTAGCCAACGTTTCAATTAATTTACAAATTGTCGACTTCTCAGGAGTCCGTCCATCATGGGGATTCTTGTAGCCGATCGCAAGTTCTTCGGTGAGATCGGGAGTCTTGATGGCGGAATGAAAATATATGGCGGGGAAAACGTGGAGCTTGGCATCCGGGTAAGGCTGAAGAACTGTGCCAGGTTTTTGTTGTAGGTGCAGAACAGTCTTGTCATAATGTGTTTCTAGCCTTTCTGTGTGACTGTTTGCTCTCCTTGTGTTTTCAAAAGACTGAAACATACAGATCATATTATCCAAATAGATCACCACTTTCACAATACACAGGCTCTCTTGTGGTTCCAAGAGTCTGTGAGATTAGAACAGGAGGTAGAGCATTCAGCTACCAGGCTCCTCTCCTGTGGAACCAGCTCCCACTCTGGGTTCTAGAGTCTGTAAGAGGAGAACAGGAGGTAGAACCTTCAGCTACCAGGCTCCTCTCCTGTGGAACCAGCTCCCACTCTTGGTTCGGGAGGCAGACACCATCTGGGCATGTAAAGTTAAACTTTCCTTCTTGATAAAGCCTTTAGTTAGTTTTGGATCAGGTGAGTCCTGAACCATCCCTTAGTTACGCTGCTATAGGTCTAGTCCGCTGGGGGAACTCCCATCCTCCACTGAACACCTCTCCACTTCTCTCTGTCTCTCTGCCCCCCCACACTCATTTATTTATTTTAATACATGTCAATGACTTTTTCACTTTGCACTCCCATAGTCTCTCTCTCTCTCTTTTTCTTTCTCATTTCAGATATCTCTGATCCCGGAACCTCAGGACAACAGCTTTATTATTATGATTTGGCACTATACAAATAAAATTGAATTGAAAAGTAGGACTGGATAGTTTTACTTTGATTTGTTGAATATGTTGTGACGCCTCCATCTCACGTGGAAACACCAGTGGTTCCTGTTGTCTGCAGGTTTCCTACAAGTCCTCTCATACTCATATCGTTTGTTTTTCAGGTGTGGCTTTGTGGAGGCAGCGTGGAGGTCATACCTTGCTCTAAGATCGCTCACATTGAGCGATCTTCAAAGCCCTACCTCCCAGACCTGAGTGTGATGATGAAGCGGAACGCACTGAGGGTGGCGGAGGTTTGGATGGATGAATACAAATATAATGTCAACATTGCCTGGAACCTTCCTATGGAGGTCAGAACTTTTTATCCTCTGAATTTAAATGACTGTTGTTTTTAGATGTTGTGACTGACGCGAACGCTGCACTTCCTCCCACAGAATCATGGGATAGACATTGGGGATGTGTCAGAGAGGAAGAAGCTGAGGAAGAGTCTGAACTGTAAACCGTTTCAGTGGTACCTGGACAACGTTTACCCCTTATTGGACCCCCTGAGTGACCTAGTCGGCTATGGATCTGTGAGTAAAATAAAAAATTTAAAAATCATATCTGACTGCACGTGAGAGGCAGGGATGTTGCGATAGAGGCCCAGAGCTGAGAGGGGGCAGAAAAGAAAATGGTTGAAAGTTGTATAAGAACCATGTTTAAATTTTGTGATCGGCTACAAACAGAAGACTGGAACATCACCATGTTCAATGAAGCCCCCTAATGAGGCCCCAGGCCATTAGCTCTCTTCCAAAATAATCTCCAGAAGAACAATGTCTGACGTCACAAGCGTGCTGGAGGCCAAGCTGTCATGTTGATGTTTAGTGTTGCACGATACAATACAATGTATGACACCATTTTTTATAAAGAATAACTTTCCCACGCCTGCAGCTCATAAATGACCTGAAGCCAGATCTGTGTATAGACCAAGGCCCAGTTCCTGGGAACACTCCCATTGTTTATCAATGTCACTTCTACTCTCCTCAGGTATGTTTAAACATTAATACAGGCTAATTAGGCCATTCACTTAGTGTCTGTTCTGATGTCTGATGTCTGATGTGCTGTAAATGTTAAATTTTAATATGTTTTCCTCCCACATTCAAACAAAAATTTAAATTTTAAAATAAAAAGTGGCTGTAAAAGCTGTAATAGAGACAGACTATGATTACATCTGTTGAAGAATAACTGCTTCTCTCTGGTGCAGCACTGTTATTATCGTACTGATGGACAGATCTACATCGGTGGAATCAAATCTCACAAGTACAACAGCAACCGCTGTCTGGTCGACTCCGGCTCTGGAGTCTACCCGGGGCTGTACGAGTGCAAAGTGGCCGTGCAGAAGAAGTTCCACATGCTGTGGGATTTCAAACAGGTGAATAATATTTCAGTTTTAACAACAGAAATTGGTGCTAAAGACTGTTGGTGTCCCAAACAAGCATATTAATGGAAAACACGAATGCAAAAGCCATCATACAAATAAAAAAGCTGCATCAATACAACTGCCACAACCACAAAAGTATACATGTGTTATAAAAATAAAAAAAACAGATGCCCGTCTGTTTGAGGTGTTATGGTACAGGTGTGTTCCTACTTTTTGAGCGCTCAGAGCAGCTTTACCGTAGCACCTCAAACAGACAGGCATCTTTTTTTTTTTAAATTGAAACAAACATGAGAAATAGTTGAGAACAAACATAAAGTCAAGAATTAAAAAGAAAAAGACATCAGGGATATTATGAGAGAGAGAGAGAGAGAGAGAGAGAGAGAGAGAGAGAGAGAGAGAGAGAGAGAGAGAGAGAGAGAGAGANAGAGAGAGAGAGAGAGAGAGAGAGAGAGAGAGAGATGCACAGATAGAACGTAAATAAAAATGGTCGGCTCACTTGATCACAGAACGTAACTCTGCTTGTTTCATTGTCATCTGTCGTCGCTCACTTCCGCTCTGGTTGTGTTCCTGTTGAGTGACTTTTGCACTTGTGTTTTCCAATAATGTGCTCGTACGACACGTCTCAGCCACTGTACAGAGGTTGAAGGACAAACAAAAAACCAACTGTTTCACACCCAGGACGGACCGATCCAGAACAGAGATACGAAGAGATGTCTGGAAATTGCGATGGACGAAAACAGCTACTACAAGCTTGTCGTTCAGCAGTGCACTGGGCAGAACTGGAAAATTCAGAATCTCATAAAAGACCATCTGCTGGGCCCCAAGAAGACAATATGAGAAATGAGCCATTACTGCATGAAAAAAAACAGACCAACCTGGTTTGCTTTGAGTTTTTCACTGGACGGTTTCGATTTTTATTATCATGTTTTTGACATTTATCTTTAAAAGGAATATACATGATCTGCCATGGAGTAGTGATTTTCATTTTTTTCTTTGCTTTGAATACAAAAAAAGCTTTTCTGTCTGTAGTTCCAAGTGATTTTCAGAAGCTCCTGTGATAATCACCTATCACACCAGGGCAGCCTACTCATCAATGTTCTTATCAGCCTTTTACTTTACAGAATAAACAGCCGATCCCAAGAGGCACTTCACATGGCATTTTAATTGTTTTACTTAAAGGCTGGTAATGTTGAATCAGTGTAGAACTAAAACAAACATTCAAGTCAAACAGGATACATTTTGGTTCAGTCGTCAGGAATGATCAGCGATGAAAGTGTCCCATTTGTTCTCCCACATGACGCGACCCCTCTCCTTCAGGTGAACGGGCAGCGAGCTGTACCTGCAGGAGGAAGAAAGTGTTAATGAGAGTGAACCAACAACAGACGAGGCTGAGACACTACAATCAGCTTAAAGCGTAAATCTCTAAAAACACACTGAACAGCACCAACCGCTCGGCAGGTTCAGAACCAGAACTTCGAACCTACGAGGAGACACTTCTGACCAATGCAACACTATATTCTTTACACTAACCTACATTCCAGTCATTCCAAATGTCGACCACATACCTCCAAGGCCTAACAGTCAGAGTGAGACCACATTTAAATCCACTGGATCCAGATTTTTATTTGGATCTGCATATGTTTTTTGTCTTTTAAGGGGATTTGCTGAAATATTAAATACTTTAGACTTAATAATTCTTTTGAACTTGTTGTAAAAACTAAAAGGTATTTGCAGTTAACATCTGTTGATCCCAACCTGATGGAGTTGACAGCCAGTTCCTTCAGAGTGCCCAGGTTTGCTTTCAAGCCTCCGATGCCCACAAAGGCTTGATAGAAGTCGTAGGAGAGGCCTGTGGTGCCGAACATGGACGGGTCGTCGGAGCTGATCACCATCGGGTGGCCCTCAGACATCAGCACAGCGGCCGGGTGGTTCCTCAGGTCTGATACCAGCTTCAGCACCTGGAGGCCAGAGGTCAAACTTAACATACAGGCAGGGAGACATTTTCTTTTCCGATGTGCTAAATAATTCAACCTGGTTTGAGATGGGGCACAGCTCCACAGCCACATTTTTTCTCCTGGAAAGCTCTTTTGCCAGCGGGTGGTGTGCCAGAGCGTAGCCGTGCCCAATGCGCATGGTGTTGAACAAAAGGGCATCGAGGATGTTCTGATCCACGTCGGTGCCTTCATCGTCTGAAGAGAAACAAAAGGTGCAGAGTTAAAAAAGCATTCGTCTTTGCAATAGATGATAATGAACTTGACCGCCGAGCTCCTGCACACCCACCTGTTTCCCCCGCATGGAAGAAATATGGTAGCGTGACACCAAGGTCAGCTGGCAGAGAGAGTGCCTCCCTGAAGTACCATAGAGATCTGCCGCTGTCCTCCCTGCCGACCTGGAAACAGCAATTAGGATTAAGGATCAGCAAACTTTGAGAACAATGGCTGCCTTGTTCAGCCCTTATTCTCTTTGTGGTTACATCAACGAGACAACACCCAGATACCAGTCCCAGGGCTTCATCAGAGACTGAATGTTAAAATGAACGCTGATGTTTTGTTGAGATATGAATTAAATTATACTCTATGGTCTTTATTATAATAATCATTATTACTCTTAGTTGCTGGACAGGGGTTTTGTTTTTGATTAAATATTGATGTTTTGTTAGTTTTGATGGAATTCAGGATTCACCGCTAAAACCTTAAATGCTTTTTTTTTCCTTCCATGTCAAATATGAATAAATAAAACCTAAACCCAAGAATGTTGGAGTACGTAGGCTGTGAGTTCACTAACATGATTGTTATGGGTGCGGCTATAAATTCATCCAAGAGAGCATTGATTCATAGATTAGGTCAGTGCAGGGTGGAGCTGCAGGGAAACAGTCCCGTCAGTCCTCACCTGTTAGAGGTGGAGCTTTTATACTTCTTAGATCATGCTATAGTTTGCCCAGTGGAGGTGGCTGCAACATCTAACTAATGTGGGTATGCCCGATCCATTGGTACCACCCCCGAGCTTCTACGACCTTCAGAATGGGTCAAACCACCAAATCTAATATCAAAAGTACAAGATATTTTTGAATAACTTTTTTTTAGGGTTGAAATTAGGGTTAGGGTTGTGTTTAGGGTTCTCTTTCATGTTTGGAAGGAGAGGGTGAGGTGAGGGGTGTTCAGTTGCAATTTCAACACTAGATATCACAAAATTCTACACACTGGACCTTTAAGTAAATAACAAAGATAACTATTTCAGTACCAGATCTCTAAGCAGTACAGATAAGGTTATAATCTTAACGTTACTCATTCCTACTTCTTACCATGTCAAAGCCTGCGACTACGTCTGGGAAGTTCTTCTGCAGCTGAATGGCCTCTTTTATGGCTTCTTTGACCTCAGACACGCTCAGAGCCCTGGAGGAGGCAGCGAGGGGAGCGACCACAGGAGCGAGGACACGATTAAGTACAATAAGATCAGGCAACATGCAGCATCAGCTACACCCAATATGTAGCTGAGAAACATAATAATACCTTCTTTTTTTCACCTTAAAGGTTCAGTGTGTAGAATTTAGTGATATCTAGTGTTGAAGTTGCATGTTGCAGCTGAACACCGCTCACGTTACCCTCCCCACCCAAACATGAAAGAGAACCTGTGGTAGCTTCAGTTGTCATAAAACTCAAAAGGTGTTTAGAGTGTTCACTCTGGACTAATGTTAAAAACATGGCGGCCTCCATAGAGAGGGTCCTCTCGATGTAAATATAAAGTATTTAAATATAAAGGGGCTTTTCTGGGGTAAAGAAAACTACAATTCATACAATTTAGATAAAACGAACTAGTGAAAACATCATGAGGATTATTCTACATTTCTGCCAATAGATCCCTTTCACCTAAATCTTACACACTGGACCTTTAAATCATATGGATGGATTAATATACCTGTGGACAGAAATTATGATGCGAGCCCCAAGAAAGTCTGGATGATCAGCCACAAATTTCTTTGTGACTTCTTGAAATGTGTTCAGAGTCCAGATCTTATCGTGAATGGTTCCGTCGAGCTCGTACGTCTGCAAACCCAGAAAATGAAATATTTCATGTCACTCTGCAGCAACGTCACATCTGCTGCTACTTTCTACTGAGGCTGGAGCTGCAGGGATCAAGTGTGAATCAAAACGAGTTAAATAGAACCTTGGAGATGCCACTCCGGAGCTCCAGATACATGATGTTGTCTTGGTGAAGCTCCTCCAGGCCCTTGTAGAAGTAGTCCCTCAGCACAGGAGCATGGGTGATGAGCCCCGCTGCTGCGATGAAGGCTTTCTCAAACTTCTCCCACACAACGTCCTGGTCAGGATACTCATTATCTGGATCCTCGGTGAAGAGAGTGAGGTGCTGCATCAAACTGGAAAGAAAAATCACACCAGAAAGTGAAAACGAATATTCTGTTTTAAGTTCCCTTGTTACATCTCGACTTGAGTTTTTAATCTTCCTTCAACCTGCTATCAAAGCTCGTGGGGTCTCCCATTTTAGCTCGTAGAGTCTGAAGCAGCTGCCAGTAGAAGCAGTCCCACCGGGGGAACGGCTGGCGGTCGGAGAACAGGAAGCGGACCGAGTTGTCCCACGTGAAGCAGATGTAGCAGTGAGGCCTGTAGGTGACGTTTTTCACCAGCCAGTCGACGCTGACCAGAGTGGAGCTGTGGATGTGGAGGGCTGCACCTGTCGGGATATATGACATGGTGACTGAGGGGACATGAGACAATGGGCCCCTGAGCACCGGTTACCAGGTCAAACAGTTTATCATTGTTTTCGACGTCATGAAAGTCAATTTGTAATTTTCCGTCACATTTTTCTGTGGAACAAGAATTCTAATTAAAAATTACTCTTGAATTTCAGTTTTCATTTAGTTGCTGGGGAAGAAGAGAGATTTTCCGACTCCCTGAAGCTTCCTTCCACAACAGATCCACATTAAAACACCTCTGCACAGATAAATCCTACAGCACAATATATCTATTAACACTGGAAACCATTAAGAAGTGTTCTAGAAGCAGAAGAAGATATTCTGTTTGCTGTGCGGCTGTAACATGAGGGAAGATCTGTCGGCCTGTTCACATCATCACCTTTAGGCATCTTCTGCAGCAGTTTGAAGATGGAGCTCCTCTGAATGAGAGGCTTTGCCTTGAAGAAGTGAATGGCCGGTGGGAACTGGGCGGCAGACATCTCCTGCTCCTTCTGCCGATGCAGGTACGCTCCCAACTTCTGCTCGGCCGCCGTCAGGGCCACTCGGCCCCCGGTCTGCCTGGACGCCTCCTGACGCATCAGCAGGTCCCTCTGGGCGGGGTCTGGCATCCCATCGGTCCCCCTCATGAGCCCCAGGAGGAGCACATAGGCGGCCACAGACTGGAAGATTGAGATCATGTTTGGGTGCTGTCCTCCTCCTCGTCCTAGAACATGGTCACTCACCCTCGGCTGGAGCGGGATCTGGTCCTGTAAAGAAAGAAATACTGTGTGAGACACGAATTAATGAACTTTCAGTCTCTGCATCGGGAGCAGGAGAGGTCGCAGGAGGTTTTGCAGTGTAACTGGTAAATGCATTTGACCGACTCGCTTTAAGGGACATGATGACATGCTGCTCATCTTGCATTACGGCGCCGACAAGAGTCCATTCACTAACTTGCCCGTGACCGTTTAGCTTGAATCAGACGTTTCCAGGAGGAAACTGAAATAATCCTCGTGGAAGCTTTAACAAGAGGGTTGAAAAAAACAAAGTTACAGTCAAATGAAGCGACTTTAGAATCGTAGACACTCACAAGCGAGAGGGAGCTCCTGACGTCCTGCGTCTCAGCCGTCTCCCAAAAGACTCCTCTTGTTTTCCGAACTCCGCTGTCAGCATGTCAGCAAAATACTCGGAGCAACCGGATAATTGGGGCATTTTTGTCTGACAAACACCATGTGATAAACTAATGAATGAAGCATGAATGG